TGTTCTGTGGGTTATTTTCTCCCCAGGACAGTGCTGCTGTGCAGATCCTTCTGGAGATCTGCTTGCCCACCGAGGAGGAGAAGGGCCAGGGCAGCAGCTCGGATGATTTGCTGCTGGGTGCCCACAGTCCCACGGGTGCTGAGGCCGAGGAAGAGGAGGGTCTGCTGTGTAACCTGAGGGAGGTGCAGTGCCTCATCTGCTCCTTGCTGCACCAGATGTACATCGCTGACCCCAACCTCGTCAAACTCGTGCACTTCCAGGTCTGCCTCGCACTGCTTTGGTTCTCTTGTTGTTCCTCAGGTCAGGGAAGAGCCAAGTGAAGTGGTCACAGGTGCTGGATGCTGTCCTTGTGTTCCTCAGGAATGATAACGACCCACTTCTCTGCTCCTGTCCCACCAAATTTCTAAATTTCTATTACTTATATTTCCTCCCTGTTTCAGTGTTTGGACTCAGTTGTAGGGAGAAGGGAGCACTTAAACTGCTTGTTCCTCATCAATAAACATGTACTTTGTTTGTACCTCTGCCCTTTTTTATAGTTTGTCCATCTAGGCCAAGGAAAACTGGCCTAATCATCTTCTAATTACTTGTTCCACATCTTTTTGTTCCACATCTTTTGTGGGTTATTTCTCTGGCCACGTGTTTAAATCAGTGTTCCCATTATTCAAAACTAATTTGGCTTCCAATGTAAACATCTTATCTCTCCTTTTTGTTAGGGCACAGTTTATCTCTGTGGAGTGGAAGGAGGAAGGTTGTCCCTGCCAAAGCAGCTGTGCACCTTCAAAAAAAAAAAAAAAGAAGAGGGGAAAGATTAGCAATTTTTAAAATATAAATGTGTTTTTAATGCATGTTAAATTGCTCCTTGCCAGATGGCACACTCTTTACAAGGAGTTAATTTGCCTTGACCTGGAACTGATTAAGTACTAAAAAAGTCATTATGGTGCAGTTGTGAAATGAGGAAATTGGGGCTCGTGGTGAAGTTTGGAACATGGGAAAGACAAGGAAGGAAAGGGTCACTGCAGTCTGGTTGTGTCTGGGGAGTGGAGGGAGGGTTTCTGTGCAAATAATACACTGAGTGTTGAGGGCAAAGAACTGATCTGGTCCCTGGGTTTGTACCCAGCCTGTGACACATTGACACATCTCTTTCCTTAACCACACAGGGCTATCCATGTGAACTGCTGGCACTGACAGTGGCAGGGATTCCATCCATGCACATCTGTCTGGATTTCATTCCAGAGCTCATTGCCCAGCCTGAACTTGAAAAACAGGTACTGTGCAGTCACCTGGCTTGGGAATCACTGTGGGTTGTTAATCCTGAGGAGAGAAAACAGTCACTAAAAACATCCTGTTCTAACTTGCCTGGGCTATCCAAGTAACATTTGTAGCATTTTCACTTTAATTTAAAGGCCTGGCATTGTAGGTAACTGGAATTTGTTGGGCCAAAAATTCCTCTGTTTCTGTATAGAATCATGGAATGGTTTGTGTTGGAAGGGACCTTAAATAAAATTTAATTCCAACCCCTCCTGCCATGGGCAGGGACACCTCCCACTAGGCCAGTTTGCCATATCAAGCCAACTTCATAGTTTATTTAATCCCTTCTCAGTACTAAGTTCCTGCTGATGGGAAGACACTCCACTAAGGTTAAAAGGAGAACACACCAGACCGAAACAGCTTTTTTGGGTTGGAAGTTGTTTGTTGCTTTGTTGCTCGCCATTAATGTTGGAACAATCTGTGTCTGTAGGGGAGAATCTGAAACACTAACACTGTCACTTTGATTAATGTTATATATCTGTGGGTTATTTTTCTTAATATTAGCAGGGAAAAAAATCACCATAACTATTATTAAGGCTTTTTCAGCTTTGATTTCTTGATAAAACAGAGAATATTTACTAACTTGTAAGTTACGTGAAAGTGCAAGCAATTTGTAACTTTATTGCTTATTTCTCTTTTTGCCAGATATTTGCCATCCAGTTACTTTCCCACCTGTGTATCCAGTATGCACTGCCTAAATCCCTCAGTGTGGCTCGTTTAGCCATCAACGTGATGGGAACCCTGCTCACAGGTGAGTGCTCCAGCAGCCCCCAAATTCCTCCTTGTCCGAGCCAGGATGTTTTGTCTCAGCTGAATGCAGTTTTGTCTGAATGCCACTCTTGTGGCAATTAACACTGTAAATGTAACAACAGTTTTTGACAGGATTTTTATAATAATTTTGTTTTGCTTGCCCGTGTCCTCCTCTGTGGCAGTTCTGACCCAGTCGAAGCGCTACGTGTTCTTTATGCCAACCCTGCCTTGTTTGGTGTCCTTCTGCCAAGCCTTTCCTCCCCTCTATGAGGATATTATGTCTCTGCTGATCCAAATAGGACAAGTTTGTGCCTCTGACGTTGCTACACAGACACGAGACTTCGACCCCATCATCACTCGTAAGTCAAGTGCCTTTATTTCACAAATAACATCGTGGTCCCAGGGGGAAACCTGTGGTAATGTTTGAAAAGTTTAAGTGTGCATGGGATTTACTGCTGTTCCCTTTTAGATACAGAAGGAGTAGGGACAGATGGCTTTACTGGATTGATGAGAGAATTTAGAGGTTACAGGGGCTGAAAGTACTCATTTGTTACTTTTCCTTCTCTTTTAATTCCCTGCCTGTATCATTACAAGATGGATCCCTGCATGCAAGTGTTGTGCAGAGAACTTACCCTCGTAGGCTAAGGATTAATGACATGAGAAGTGGCCACTGGTTTTTGGAACACAAGGGCATCTCAGCCCCTCAGCTGGAGGCACAGTGGCCCTGGAAATCTTCCCCATCTGTTGGAAATGCAAAGTCAAAGGAGCTGCCTGAAGTCTTAGACATGGTGTGGTTGGATAAACCCACAGTGATTGTGTGAGCAGGAATTGGCTGTTTTACTTTCTCAGTTGATCTTGAGCAGGTTTTTGTCTTTTTTTTTTTCTGTCTAAAGACAAATGCTCTGCTCATGTAATAAAAGGTCCCCTGCTGCTGTCTGTGCTGGGATATTCATCCTGAAAGAATTGAAAAGGAATAAAAAAAAGCCCAAAGCAGTCAGACATAGGTAAATGACAGAGAAATGCTGTATTGTCTCTAGAAATGACCTGTGGAGTGAAGCCTGGTGAATAAAATAGTGATGGCTCAGATTTGCAATCTCATCACATGTACCTGTGTTAGGGGTGTAAAATAACGACTTTCAATACTTACTTTATTTATTTAGATGTACTTTGCTGCTTCTACCTTATTTTCCAGGTCTCCAGCAACTGAAGGAGAAACCACATGATCTCTCAGGACTTTGTAAAGACTCCTCTACCAAAAGCTGGTCCAGGGACGTGGCCAGCCTGGACCCCGACGTTCGGCTGTGCCAGTGTGTGGAAAACACCATCATTGAGATCATTAACATGAGTGTCAGTGGGGTTTAGGAACAGCTCAAGTTAGGTTGGAGCTTGTCCCTCTGTCCACAGTGCCTAAATTTGGAGAAAGCTGTGAAAGTGCACTGAGGAGCTGGAGCAGAAACCCACGTTTTTGATCCATTTGATTCAGTTACGGCTGAGGAGAAAATTCTTTCCAGAGGCTCATGTTGCTTCCAGTGAAAACTTCTGAGGGTGATGGGATCAGGAAATAATTCCCAGTGGAACTGAGAGTGATTTTCAGGTGATACAGCAACACAGCTGAAAGGCTTTTAGGACGTGTTGAGCAAACAGCAAAATGATAGGTAAGAAAACTTGGAGATTCAAATGAGTTAAAAGAGCTGCTGTTCCAGAGCCTTGCAGAGCAAGATGGAATAAAGTACTTTGAGGAATACTTGAAAAAGTGGTGCCAGTAACTTGCACCATCACACTGAATGCTTAGAAAACGTTTTAACTCTTTATTTGTGTGTCAAAGTATTGGTCAAAGTTTCAGTTTGTGAGATCAGGAGCTTCATTTAAAGATAACCAGCCTTCACTGAGAGTTTGAAACCGGTCTAAAAGTTGCTTTAAAAAAAAGTATTAATAGTAAAAATGAGTTGTATAAATGTGCTTTTTAAAGAATGGGTATTTTTCATGCAACTCAGATGATTTTGGGTTTTTTAACTTAAAAAGTGATGAGAAAGACTTGAAGAAACAAGTGCAGAGCTTTCTTAAGTTGTCACCAGGATAAGACTTAAAAAAGAAATTGGTGTTGAGAATGAGTGTGCAAAGGAATAAAAGAAGGAATGGCCAAACTAGTTCCAGGCAGCTCAGAAAGCCAAATCCTTTGTGCTCCATCTTGGAGTTGGTTGTTCTTTTCCATACGAGGCCTGAGCCCACCGAGGGGATTTTTGTCATCTTACTGTAAATTATGTAAATAATCTAAATGTATGTATTTTTTTCCCTCAGTTCCAAGTGTAATTTTATATGATGTAGTGGTATTTAAATAAAAAGCATTGACTCTACAAAAACTATTAATTTTTTATTTCCATACATTATTTTATTTCCCTACTTCCAACTGTATTTCCAGGGTGTTTTCTGTGCACTGCCCTTAAAACAAGGATGATAATAATAATACTGAAAACAAGGATAATGACAATAATGGTAATAATACCCAATAGTAATAAAACCTGATAATAATAATAGGGGCTAATAATAATGGCCAAGAATACAACAAGAGCAATAATAATAATAGATGTAAAATATAATTATATATAATGTAAGATAATGTAAAATATATAGTTATATAGAGTATAATGTAAAATGTATTATAATATAATATTAACAATAAAATACATTGTTATTATTTCTCAATATGGTTTTCCCCCACTAAACAGGCGGTTGCTTAGCAACGCGCGCAACCCGGAAGCCAACAAGGCGCGCTGCGATTGGCTCCCGGCACTCAGGGGAGGAAGGCGGGAGCAGTGCAGTGTGCGGCTCGTCGATTGTGAGGCGCGCGACCCTTTCCTGTCAGCTGATTGGCTGGGGCAGAGGCGGGAAGGACGGGAGGGCGCTGAGGAGATTTCGGGCTGCTGGTGGGGACCGTGAGGGAGCGGGGCCGGGGTTTGGGCACGCACAGGAAAACAGCGCCCAGGTGCTGCTCTGGGGGCTGGGTTGAAGCGGCACCACTTCCTCAGGAGCAGAGCCGCTCCGCCCGGGGCCGAGGCGGTGGCGAGGCTGCGCTCAGAGGCGGCCTCGGCGCGCCCAGAGCGCTCCCGGCCGAGCTGACACTCCACGGAGGGGGCTCTGCGGTGTCCCCGAGCTTCCCACCGCCTCACAGGCAAACTTAACTCGGAGTTATCCTTCATTAAGGAGCCCCCCCGAATGTGTGTGGGAAAAGCCTTTTCGTGGGGAGATGCTTCCATCCACCCTTCCTAGGGTGCAAACTCATGTCATCAATCTCCTTTTCTTAGGATTGCGTTTTCGTGTGGAGAATCTCGATGAGGAAGCTGAATCATGCCGTATATTGGTGTTTTTGGATACGTATGTTTAATTGAAAGTCAGATGAGGACACAGGTTAGTGAGTTGATTTATCACCTGGAATCTGCCACTTTAAACGTGCTCTATTACTCAAGACTGAAAACCTATAAGAAAAAAAAACCCCTTGTGTTGTTTAAAAAATGTGATCTTTCTTTAAAGCCATCTGTGCCTCTTCAGTATTTTTAGTTCACTAGTTTCAACTTTTTAGCATGATAGGGAAATTGTCTTTTATTATCCAGAGTAAGAGATATTCAAGGTAATAATCACAGAATAGTAAAGTGACTGCCACCCCATTTCCCCCCGAGTAATTACTGTGTTATTTGGGGAAGAAAAGTGTTTTTAAACATTTTTGAAGTCAGTGTCCAGTTTTATTTTTCATTGTTATAAGAGGGATGGTACAAGCTACTGTTGACAACTGTGTCTTTGGAGTTTGCAGTGTCTTGGAGTTCAGGCTGATGGAGCTGCAGAATTGAAAGACTGGCTGATATTCAGTAACTAAAAATCCTGAAATACTTTTTCCCTGTGGCTTTGAGTTTTTATCCCAACGATCTCCAGTCTGGCTGATGGAATCTGAACTGGTGTGTGCAGTTCATCGTGGTTTTATTTAAATTGCTGATGTTACTCACTAGCTGGTGGCAGGTTGTTCTTGTTTGTAATGAGGACCAAGTCAGAACTGCTGATGTGTGGTGTGAATTCCTGCATTTCAGTTCTGTCGTTGCCCTGAACTATTACCAGATTAACTGCTTCTCCATGTTTTTATTTGTTGTTATATATTGTTTCAGGCTTTATCTGCTTGTTACTATTGACTTGCTAATAGTATTTTTTTTTATTGCAGTTCTAAACCTGAAGTAAAGGGGAGGAAGAAGTGGCAATGCCTTCTGAGGGGGCAGAATACACCATTGGGGGGGTGAAGATCCTCTTCCCCTGCAAGGCTTACCCCTCCCAGCTGGCTATGATGAATGCTGTGAGTACACTTTACACTGGCATTTCCTAAACTAAGAATTTGGAATTCCAATTTCTCTATCAGCACTTAGAAAAACTGGAACATTCAGAGCCTCCAGTGTCTTGAGAATTTTAGTTGTAACAACTGACTCTTCTCTGTGCTGGACAATATCTGGAGCATGCCCAGGGAATGCTGAGGAACATTTTGGATTTATGAGCATTTATGCTAAGAAAGAAGTTGTTTGTTGTGTAATATATATGATTATTTATCTAGATATACTGTTATAGAAGATGTATATAACTTTGAGGGGCAATGATTTAATAAAACATCTGTCTCTTAAACAGAATAATGAAATAGAGTAATATTTCAATAAGTTTTCACTTTTTTGGATTTTTTAAAAATGAATTGTTGCACTTGCATGTAAACATTTTTAAGGAGTTTTAACCATTTCAAAATGGTTTTTTTTTCTCTGTGGGACAAATGGTTTGGTTGTTATTATTATTAAAGGTGATTGTGGGGGTTGGTTTTCTGCTTGTCACAGGACAGCAGGTGTCCTGGCCTATTTTTAGAAGTTATTTCTAAGATAAGCTAAAGACACCTGCTTTGCTTTCTCTTAATTCTGGTTTTGCTCTTGTTGTTCTCCTTAAAGATTGTGAAAGGTTTAAATACCAGGCAGCACTGTTTGCTGGAGAGCCCCACAGGGAGTGGGAAAAGCTTGGCATTACTTTGCTCTGCATTATCATGGCAGCAGTCTCTGCATGGTGAGTTTGTCTCAGTGGCTGTTTGCACAATTTTTGATACCAAAACAATGAGTTGCTGCTGTTTATCAGCCTTTAATTTAATTTATCAGCCTTGGAGTTCAGGTCTTTGCCCACCATTACACATCTTACCTTACTGGCAGCACAAAGCAGGGATGGCCAGTAGTGCTGAGGGGGGTTTAGGTCTCATAACGGAATTATTTGGCTGTTGGAACTTGGGAGGAAAATCCTTGTGGGTTGCAGTGATGTGGATGGAGTTGAAGGAGAGAAGAGGTTTGGATTCCTGCAGGGGGTTACAGGCTGAAGAACTGCAGTGGGAACTTGGGCAGCTTTATAGAGACACCAGGTTTACAACTGGTACCTGAGCTTTCACCTACACTGTTCTGCAAGTCTGGTTGTCCTGCAGAGCCCTGAGTGGTTTTAATGAGAGCCAAATGCCTGTGTGTGTCCCTCAGAGAAATCCCTGCTGAGCTGCTCTGGGGAGAAGGAGGACAGGAAGGCAGAGACATCCCCCCTGTGCCACTGCACGTGCCATTCCCAGGCCAGGAGCAACGAGGCTGCAACAAGTGTCAATCCTGGGGCTTCTTGTCCTTCCAATCACTGTGAAACAGCAATTTCCATGAAACCTGGAAGCCCCCTGCCAAACACAGGTAACTTCGTGCACAGGCAGCTAAAAATCAGTTCTGGAAATACAATTTGTAGCTTGAGTTGTCAGGTTTTTTTTGCTTTCCAGTCAGGGGTGTTTTTTTGCCTTCATAATAGAGTACTACATATTTCTGCCCTGTGAAATCTGTGTGGTGATTAATGGCTCTGGAAATGTCCAATACAGTTACCTACATCAGGTGTATTTATAGTAAAATCTGGTTTTTAATTGCTTCCCTTATGTAATGCCTTCCTTTTTTCTTTGATGAATTACAGAATGTAAGGAAAATGAAACTCTGGCTTCGAAATTGGCTGCCAAAAAGAAGTTATCTCTCCAGGACAGTGAGAATGATGATTTTCAAGTGGACAGGAAAAGGATTCGTCCTTTAGAAACAGAGCAGCAGGTGAACAAAGTTTATTGGCTGTAAAATAATCCAGGTGTGGCTAAACCAAGCTATTAAATACCAATCAGTGTTACAGAGAAGGGTGTGGACAATAATTGAGTCATGTCACAGTTCAGATTGACAGGTTTCTGTTCGTTTTTATTGTTACTCACTACAAAAGAGTCCATTGTTGCATTTAAATGTTCATAATACCCTGTCTTAAACTATATCCTGCCTATTTAAACAAGTAATATCCCCAAAATATATTCATCCCCAGCTGATCTGTGATATTAAGCCAAAGTATGACATTCTAGAGTTGAAAGTGCTCTTGGAAATGAGTGTTAGACATTCAAATAATACAGAGTTCTGGTTTCTAGCCTGTCAGGTGTTGGTATCTCTGTGTGGAGTGCAATATTTCTGTTATGTTTTCATCTGTGTCACTGTTGGTATCACATGGCTGAGGACTTGTGCACTTAAACAGCTTTTACGTGGCTGCAGAGCACTTTTGATTAAGTTTTTACATCAGTATGGCTTGAATTTATATTTTGGTTTTGTTATGGAACTTTTCTGCTTTTTTCTTCATAGTGCTATAGTTTCTCTCAGTTTTGTAACAGTGAGAAAATAAAGCAGAAGAGCTCAGCAATAATTACAGATTTTTTTGTAATTAAAACTTGAGAGCTTTCCCTAATGACTTTTGTGGGGCTCAGTTTGGTTGAGCTGTTAACAAACATTAAGGGTGCACAGTGTCACTAAAACAGCCTCAGTGGAAAAGAGCTGAACCAAAGCCCTGCCAGAGGGAGCACATCCTCCTGCCCAGGGCATTTGTACACTGATTTTTTTTTCCCCAACAGGTCAGAAAACGCCACTGTTTGGCCAGAGGAGTCCAGTTGGTTGATGCTTTAGAAGTTTATCAGCAGAGGAAAAATGGAGAGCTCACTGTTCACTCTGAAAAAAGTGTGAAAACCTCTACTTCTTCTCCCCAAAGGGTAAGTAATGCAACAGTATCTTTTACAGCAGGAGGGGGGGTTCAAGAGCAATTAAAAACAATATTTGATGGCTCCCCAACAGCACAAAATGTGGCCCAGCAATTCAGCCTGTCAATGTGTGACAGCTGTTGTAAAGCAGCTTTGAATTTATATTTTATATTCCAACCTCTATTAGATTGATGACATTATGGAAGAAATTGCAGCTGGGACTGTGAAAATTAGGTGAAATCAGGATTTGTGGGTTTTGTTGTTTTTTTGTTGTTTTGAAGCATATATAGTGAAAAGCAGTATTTAACATTAACATGTGTGTCTTTTAGACTTTAAAAAAAATAGCATGGAGAAAGCTGGACCTGATCATTACAATATATTATAACAAAAAATGAGGACTGAATGAATGTTGCACATGGTTAAGAAGAAAAGTCCTGTGTTTTACTGTGGTAGATTTACATTTTGGGGGGGTGGTGGTTTGGTTTTGGTTTTTTTATTACCACCTTCTGTAGCAGAAGTATCACATAAGAATTTGAGATGCAAGTATGCAGCTGTTTCTGCAGCTTTCTGCTGGGCATTTTTCTGTTTGAATCATACTGATTTTACATAAATGTTTGTTGAAGTAAAACCAGGAGAAGAAGAAAGGTGAGGCAGAGGAGAGCTGAGGGTGAGATGCCAGGTTTGTGAGTGATGCAGTTCCCCTGAAAGCTCATCAGGGACTGGGACAGAATAGTTCTTATTGATATTAAAATATGGGAGCACACCATGAAATCAGGAAATTGTGTGTTTGGGACAAGTGTAAGAAAGGAACAAGGTCTGACCTTGGTTTCTTTCATCAGCACAGAAATCTCCTTTCTGCTTCCAAAAGACAAAGAACATTCACCCTTTCCAGTGTATTTGATGTTGGTTTATGGTAATACCCCTCTGAGGTAACTCAGCTTCTGAGTGCAGGGGGTTTTGTGCCTGTTTGGAATTATGTTTGGTTTCCACATGCATTTCAGTTCTCCTTCCAACAGCTCTTTGTATGTCCTACATGAGCTGCTGTTCTAATCAGTGCAACCCAGAGCTGGTTTCCAGTATTCCATGCCTTTGTAAACACAAAGGAAGCCAAGAGCTATAGTATTACTTTAAGACACTGGGAACTAAATATTTTCTTAACAAAAGTGAATCTGTGTTGCAGGTCATTTGATGGGAGGTAGTTTTTGTTAGTTTTGGAAAGCTCTGAAGACTTTTTGAGTAGGATTTGAAATGCTTTGTGCCACTGAGCTTCAGCTGATAGTTTGGAATCCAAAGGCCAGCAGAGTGTGCTGTTGATTTTCAAATAAAAAGACCTTTCTTCCTTCCTTGATTGTAAAATTCCCTTTGGTGCTTTGCTGTGGGTGTCTGGAAAACTCGATTTAAAACTTGTGGAAATTTCTTGCAGTGAAGAAAATTGAAAACTTTTAATATAGATCAACTAATTGTTCATAAAATACTTAAGAAAATACTAAGAAAACTCTTCATTTTCTAAGGAAACTCTTTGTTTTAATAGTTGAACTGCACCTGTGTGTGTTGCAATGTGCCCTCCATAGGGCTGATTTTGCAGATAAACAGTATATACATTAGATACTATTCAAACTGTTTGCTGCATCTTTAGAAAGAATTAGCCCAAGAAGAAATGAAGGTTTTTATTTCTGTTCGAGTTTCTTTTCAAGAATGAAAGGATCAAGTGTTATTTTGCTGTGATGAACTTCTCCTTTAGCACTGAGAATTTGGCTGGTATCAAGAAAGAGTTGCAGAAAGGCCTTAGTTGTACCTCAGAACTGCTGATGATAAATGTGTGAGGTTTAAAACATGAAGAGCCCACAGCATGGGCTGTCAGGTATAGAAATACTTTTTTGGTGTAGCTCATGAAATAAAGTCAACAAGGGGGTATGTTCAGCACTTATCATAATGAACTGTGTGTTTGGGATGGTACAATAATGTAATAATGGTATTTCCTTCAGCACTGAGGCAACCCTCTGTTTTACTGTACTTAATCCTCTGCTTCAAGCAAATTTAGTTTCTTGTCAAGTCCTGTCTCTAGTCCAAAAGAGAGGTGGGCTGGTTGTTGTGAGAGGGTCAGAGGTGCTGCCCAGTGTTGCTCCATCAGTAGAACACCTGTAGGTCCTGGGGGTGAGAATCCAAGGCTGTTCTGAGCTGCCTGGGAGTCCATCTCTGTCCTCCTGCTGTTAAATCCTGCAGGACAGGGCAGTTCTGGTGTGAGCTGAAGTGGGAAATGATCCCCTGCTGGTGCTCTCTCGATTCCTTGTGTCACAGAATGGCCTGAGAAACTGGGGCAGCTGGGCTAAGGAAACCCCATTTCTAGCAGGTAAAGAAAGTAAACAGTAAATGGAGAGTAGTGTAACAAACACTTGGGGTATCAAAAAACAACTGTGAAAAGAATCTGTCTTAATGTGCTAGCCCATTGCAGTTTAACATATTGCTTACAACCTTCACAATGGGCCTTGAGTGACTTCTGTTACACATTCCAGGGGACTGGCAGCCTGGTACAATCAGGGTCTGCACTCCAGAAGGGGCTAATTTACCACGATGGGCTGAAGAAAGTTGTGGATTTGTATTACAGGCTCTCACCTGACACCGTATCTGATCCCTTTTCTGCTGATTGACGTTTTGAATGAGCTCTTTGAAGCGGGTTCCAGCTTAATTAAAACGTTTGCTGGGTTAGCAGTGATCTGTGAAAGCCTGTGATAAATATTGAACCGGGTTCACCTGCTGGTGACTGGGGGAGCATAAACAGCTGCTTTGTGTGCTGGGATGGAGAGGCTGCGGCAGCAGCAGAATGCTGGGCTTTGAGAGCTTCCAAAGCAGGGCTGAAAAGCTCTGCTAATGTCCCTGCTGATATCTGCCCAGATCGTGCTTGTGCCGTATTTCACACAAGGGGCATTCACTGCTCCATCATTCACATGCCTTTGTAGCTGGGAAATGGAGATGGAGATAGGAAGAACTCCTCTTACCTCTTTGTGTTTCAGGGATCACAGCCCCAGTGTTTGTTTAGCTCTATTTTACACGCAGGACAGGTCGGGGGACTCGATTATTCCCTTTTTAATCGGACTTCCACGTTTTGCCCATATAAATATTGATGTGATAGGCTGGTTTATCTCCCCCTGACAGCAGTAAAAACAAGCTGCATTAGCCTAAGGTCCATATAGGCTGGTATCTGATCTCTAACAGCATCTGTTACTGAGTGTTTCTGATTAACCACTGTAGAAAGCAGAGGAGAATCTTTCTTTTCCTCTCTCCCAAATGAAAATCTCCATTTCAGATTCCAACAGCTGTAGACAGGTTTAGCCCTGAAGCCAGAGGGTGTTACAAAGTAGAGTTCTCTTGTCTTAATGTGAATTATTTCTAGTCAGCTTCCCCCCTAATTTTTTCGTAGGTAAATTGAAACATTTTCTAATTTTATTACAGTTCAATCAGTATCTCTGTGGTATGAGGGTAAAAATTTGTGTTTTGAGGCCACACTACCAAGGAAAATGCCAAATTGGGGTCACTTTGCTCAGGTGGAGAGTTCTCCTTCCTTTGGCTGCAGGAATGGGAGAGGAACCCCACGTTAGTTCTGCTGTGATATCCACAGCAAATTCTTTGTGTAGAAATACAGAATTAAAATAGTTTGTCTTCTATACAATTTTAAGACTTATTTTAAGAATTCAAATGCAAATTGACACACTTGAGAAGCGTGCAGAGAACTTGAACTCAGCTTTTAAACTGTGTTTTAACCGTTTTCCTAAAGTTTCTCTTCATTACGAAGAACCTTCTGAAAAGGTTTTATTTATTAATATGTGTGTGGCTAATGGTGTCTGTGGCTTTCAGAATTGCTCTGACTACTGCAGGCAGTTTTATACTCTTTCTGGTTACTATAAAATCAGCCTCAGTTTACAACTTTCTCAATATTGTGGAGGGTTTTCTTGATGTGAAACTCTTTTCAGAGTTAAAGGTAACATTTTAGTACTGGAATAATGGCTAAAGTGCTTCTCAATGCCAGTGTTACACCAACTACAAACCTTTTAAGCCAAACTTTTAAGGCCACCTGTAAAATACCCTAATTTATAAGCCTTACCCATGAGAACACTTTTAATTCTTTTCATAAAAAAGAAATATATGTGGTGTTTTAAGCCCATCATGGAAGAGCCTTCTGTTCCCATTTGTGTATATATTAATTTAAGCTTCGTTTTCCTGTTGTTCTAAGAACTTTTGCAAAAGCTGCCTAATTCATCCTAATATTTTTCTGTTATTTTTATTTGGCAAACTGAAGGTGAGGCTTAGCAGTAGCAGGGAAATATTAGTGGTAAAGTGTCCTCTTGGCATCCTGTGTATTCTTTTTGCCTCTGAAAACACCGTCTGACTTGAATAAAAATTAAAAGATAAGCCTGTTGTTAAAGGCCCTGCCCAGTGAGTGCTTGGGTTCTATTAATTGTTAGTGTGCTGATGTGGTTTTTATTATTTCAGGCTCCCATTGGCACTGGAGTTTTCTGTGTGAGCACACATGTAACATATACCATATGTCAGCTGTTTCCTGCTTGGCTGGTGACAAGAGCCCCATTCATAACTCTTCTTTTTATCCTTTCAGTGAATAAGTAATTATTCAATATAGAAGGCAGGATATTTGGAACTGGCTATTTAATGTGGCAGCACAGGGTAATGAAACCTGCTGTTCCTGGCAACCTGAGAGGGGAATGTAACAATTCCAGCATGGGTGTAACTTTAGCTGCTTTGAGGGCCTGTTTCCTTGGCACATCAGTGCACCTTTTATCCCCCTGAGTGGCAGCTCTGGGGGTTCCATTTCCAGCCCTTCTCTCCTGCATTGTGATATTTAATGGTGGACAAGGCTGAGTGGGACTGAGGGTAAGGTGACCTTCCTTCTCCTGGGAGGGGAGGCTCTGAGACAGCTCCATCCCAGAGCTGGGGGGGAACACATGGCAGGGCTTGGTTTGTTTGGAATGGATCATCCCTCATGGCCCTCCCTCCCCTTCAAAGTGTATCTGAGCAGGCAGCAACACGCTGGGACCTGCACTAGAGCAAACACCACCTCTTTGACAACTTGGAACAACTCCCTGGTTTTCAGGTGGCCCTGGTTACTCAGGAGTTCCTGGTTTTCCATGTGTCCTTTCACATTAATTATTGCAACTTCACCTGGATGGTCCCAGTGTTTCATGTTATGAAAGTTGGTGCTTCTCAGGAAGGAAAAAAAAATGACCTCTAACAGATATTTTACAGGATTAGGTTCTTTTTAGAATTATTCCCCATGTTTCTTTCTTCTCCTAGTTACTGGATGGCCTTTGGCATAATGGCCCAGCAAACATGTTTCTGATGGAGAGTGTGTGACACAGTCTGCAAACTGATTGCCCTGAACTGTCTAGATTTCTACTGCTTGCTTTGAGGAAGAATGTTCTCAGTGCTTTAATTTGGGTGCCTGATCCCAAATTTCCTTCATGGAAGGTGCAGGACTCTTGTTCTGTCACAGGAGTGTCCTTGGCTGCAGTTTAAACGTGAGGAGTTTGTGTTATTCACACGTGTAAATATTCCACTGGATTAATAATTCTTTGTGATTGGGTTATGATAAAGTTGTGATTGCTAGAAGGGTTTTTTTAAGATTTTCAGGCACAACACTTTAAGTTTGCAGCTTAATAGGCCAACCTATTGAACTATTGAGCTATCCCAGAGGGCATTTCCTAAACAGACCATAAGCAGATTTAGCACATTCATCTCCCAGTGGGATTTTGTTAATTTTTTTTTTTTTAAATCTTGTTTTGCAGCCTTCTGGCCCTTGCACTGAGTGTTCCTGCTCTTCTGGAAAAGAACCCACTAAGGATCCCAGTCACACAAAGAAGAAGGAAAATGGAGATCGCTTGTCTGTTCCCAAAATATTTTTTGGAACAAGGACTCACAAACAAATAGCCCAGATCACCAGGGAGCTGAAGAGAACAGCCTATTCCTCTGTCCCCATGACCATCCTGTCCAGCAGGGATTACACCTGCATCCACCCAGTGGTATCCAACAGTGGGAGCAACAGGAGTGAAATGTGTGTAGAACTGCTGGAAGGAAAAAATGTGAGTCCTTCAGTTTGAGAAAATGAGCATTCATTAAACACAGTCAAATTTAAGGGAGTTGAACAGCTGGATGAGGAATGTTTTTTACTGTGTTGGTTAAATGCCTCCTGATAATTTGATTTAGATATTAATCATTAGAAAATGTAGATACACTGTAGCCGTACTGGAAAACTTATGATGATAGGATGAGTATTTATGGCAGGTTAGTGTTTTAGTAGGACTTTAAATTGTCTTTGGGTTTATAGATGAAGAAGAAAAGTGCCCTTTACTGAGGTGCATTTTAGGAACATGGATTTGCCTGACATGATGTGCTGTTCATTCTTGTCTGACATGAAAAGTAGCTGCTAGAAACGTTCTCTAGAAGTAGTCCAATGCATGGAACAACTTGGGGGATTTGAGCTTCCTTGGATTTCATGATTTCTTGTACCCACTGTCTTTGCTTGCAGGGCAAGTCCTGTGCTTACTACCACGGTGCCCACAAGCTCAGTGAGCACCACGCCCTGCAGGCTGCCCATGGGCTGTACCAGGCCTGGGACATCGAGGACCTGGTGAGCCTGGGCAGGAAGCTTCGTGCCTGTGCTTATTTTGCAGCCAGGGAGCTGATGGTGGGGGCAGACATCGTGTTTTGTCCCTACAATTATCTCCTGGACCCGCAGATAAGGGAGAGTGTGAGTATATTTGTAACAAAGATTGCAATAAGTGAGGTTAAAAAGAAATGAGGAACGTAATGTTCATTGATGATGGTCAGCTGAGATCCTATTTATGTCCAAAATATTATCAACAAAATAACTCCTGGGGGTTTTTTTTTCCCCTTGGTTGTGGAAATTGGATCAAAACCTGAAAACTTTCCTTTGCACTGTGATGCATAACATGCATTTTTTTCCCCTGTTAGTTGCTGTTTCTCCCTCATGTCTTTCACTGTTTTACCAGGTAATAATTCTCTTTTTTTAGATGGACATCAACCTCAAGGGCCAGGTGGTGATTTTGGATGAAGCCCATAACATCGAGGACTGTGCTCGGGAGGCCGTGAGCTACGGGGTGACAGAGGCTCAGCTCAGGGCTGCTCGGGAGGAGCTGGATTTCATGGTCACCAACAACATCAGGCAGAAGGATCACGGGCCCCTGAGAGCTGTGTGCTGCTCTTTGATAAAGTAAGGCAACTCTTGAATTCCTTTGCATCAATTAATAGTGTTTTGAATTACATTTAGGTTCCTTTTGCTGGTGTAATTTGTGCAGTGGTGTTCTTCAACCTGTGCAGTCATCTGATTTTTGTTCACTTCAGGAATCCAGAGGGTGTTGATCTGTTAAGAAAACTACTGGTCTTGCTTAAATGGGAGCATTGAAATTCTGGTTTGTAAAGTGTGTTCTGCTCTTGAATGGTGTTCTCATCTTTATGGGGCTTTCATGGGCTCCTGGTTCAGGATGAATATTTTGCATGGGGTAAATTTTTATATTTCACAGGCTTCTGTTTGCTTATTTGACAAATAGCAGCGTTATTTGGTCAAAGCATTAATTGGTTCACATTTATAAAATGCTTTCAGAGCCTTGGACGGGAAGTGTTTGGAGAAGCTTGGAATCTGTTCTTGGAATCAGATTGGAATCTGTTGACTTCTTCATGGCTGAAAGTGAATTTATCAGTTGGGCCCTTTGTTTTCCCTGTGAAACAGCTTCTTGGAAGGGGAAGGCATGAACATGAGTCAAAAATTATGGGATGGGATGGAACAAAAGCAAATGGACAGAAGCCCAGGAAGAAAGAGGAGGTCAAGGGCAAAGTCTTTTGGGTGAAGTGGAGGAATCAAAAAAAGTGGATGATGATACAAGTGGCTTTGTAGCTAATTGAATTCTGATTCAGTGCTTGTCACATCATCACTCTGGTGCACTTGACTTTGCAGCACAGCACAAGTAGTTCACCCTTTTCCCGTCCTCTCTTCCTTCTGAGAGTTGATGTTTATGTGTCACAGAGACAAGTGACTTTTTCTGTTGTGCAGAAGCTAATTCTCTACCTTGGCGATTTTCAAATGTTAAATTTTAGCAGAAGATAAGAACAGCATGGCTGGAGATTGGATTGCCTCGAGCTTTTTAACCTTATCAGGAAAACTAAGGTTGATTGTCTTGGCAAATCTGCCAAGAGCATGAAAAGCAGTTGTTGGAAAGCAGAGGCCGGGGTGTAAATAGCCAGTAATGGGTAAGATGCTGCTGTGTTGTGACATGGCTTTGCCAGATGCTTGGGGAATGAGGAAAAATCTTATTTCACTTATAAAGAGCCTGGGCCCTCATTCCAGAAAGCACTTAAGCACGGGCTTAGTGCCACAGGGGTGCTGGAGTGACCTCTGGGAGGAATTTGAGGATGTACCAGTGGAGCTGGCAAACTTTGCTGATGAGATGCACATTTACCAGGACAAATGACTTTGTTCAGTGGAATATGCTGTGTCAACAGTGGGATTTGCTGGTAGTGAGGGAAGCAGCAAATACACTTTCTGGAATCAGAGATGTGTTTGTAACATCCATTCCATCTTTGCCTGGAATAGTGCATACACCGATTTTTCACTTCAGAACCATTGATGCCTTTCTGGGAACGAAGCTCATTTTATTTGTGCTTCCTGCTTTGCTCTAAAAATAATTTAACAGGTATTTCAAGTAAATGCCTTCATGCTGGATGGAATTTAGTTGAGAATTTGGGTGGGGTGTTTTGGTGGTGTTTTGCCATTAGGAAGGCCCTTGTGTTAAGTTTGTATTTGCATTTTTAGCATAACCATTTGAAAAGTGGGTGCTGGTGTTTGAGGTTCATAACAGGGAAACAGAAGTTTTACATTTCCTGAAGTGTTTTATCCACTGTAAATCTTTCATTTCCGTCGTGGTGGCCTTTTCCCAGTTTTTGTTCCAGGTCTTTTGGATGTTACATTTGAGGAAATGGGGCCCTACCCTGGTGATGTTCTGCCTGTGTTTATTATCACCATTCCTTAATAAAATAAAGCAAATTACAGCCAAAGAAGTGATTGTTACGACAGCATTTGGAGGGGTTTTGTTTGCATTAACCCAACGAAAGGCGAGTTTCGTTTTAATTGTTCCGTGGCTCAGCTAATTGCAGTGACAGGGCAGGAGGTCTGGAACTGAAGCAGTCACTGAGCCTTACTGCTTTAGTTGATAATGATGAAGTGCTTTTGCAGGTGGATGTTTTGAAGTGGTGCAGCAGTGACAGCTGTCCTTGGGCTGCCTCCTCAGAGCTGATGGAACAGACAGTGCTGGCATTTCCCGGGAGGCAGGAACCTGCTGCTTCTCCAGACAGAGGCAGGGCCTTGTCATCCTGCAGGGATGATGGAGGCCAGGCAGAAAATTTTAGCCACAAAGGAGATGATCTGCATGTTTAAATCATGCTTTTAGCAAGTCCTGTCACATTTTACATTGTACATACAATTATAGTTCTGCTTAATCCTAATTGCAGCAGTTACCATTACCTGCAAATCTTCAAATTGCAGCAGTTACCATTACCTGCAAATCTTCAAATTGCAGCAGTTACCAATACCTGCAAATCTTCAAATTGCACCAGTTACCAACACTTGTGAGTAGGTTTAAACATGCACTTTTTATTGCCCCACTTTCCCTCCCCTGTGTAAATACTAAAAGCGCCCATTTCGTGCCTCAAGATTTGTTCTTGCTAGGAAAGCCTGCAATTAATAAGGATGCTAAATTAATGTTCAGCAGAGCAATGATGAGTGGCTATAAAAGCACAGCAGAAATATTTCTTAAATTAGCCTGACATATCACAAGGAAATGATATTTTAATCCTTTTTCTTTGTAATAAAGGTATTATATGATGATGAAGTGTGAGCATATAGGGAGACATTTTCTTCTCACTTAAAGGAGCTGTAGAAGTTGGTTCAACAGTGAAAAGCAGAAATAAAGGAAAAGCAGAATCTCCCTACTTGGATGCAGTAAAAAAACATTTGTCATCATCACAGGAGTCTGGTGCAATTGGTTGCACCAAATGTTTGGTTTGTACTTGCAAAATGTCTCTCAAATCAGTGCTGAAGTTCTCTGTGGTTTTCCTCTTTTCCAGCTGGCTGCAGGAGAGCTCTGGTCAGCTGGTAGAGAGAGGGTTTGAAAGTGCCTGTAAGGTGTGGAGTGGCAAAGAAATGCTCACCTTTCTGCACCAAATGGGAATAACTGGTATTACTTTTCCCATTTTACAGGTAATGTTGTGTGCCATATAAATGAGTACCAAAGTACATAATGCTGGTTTTGTTAAACATCTTTGGATGTGCACATAAGTGAAATACAAAAAGATCTCTGATTTTAGTGCTGAAAAGTTGTCTGAAAGTGATTCCTGATGAAAACCAGGAGTAATCCACTGGAGCTCCTGGAATTTGTGGAGAATCAATGTTTTAAAGGGTATAATTGATCACATCCAATTATTTCAATTGAGCCACTGAGCCAGTGATAGTTTTGCTGTTGTATCCAGCTGCATTTTTATTGGCTGTTGAAATGTTTTTACCCTATTTTCAAGTTAATCCCTGCTTTCTGTGTAAGCCAGATACATTAAAAGCATTGTTAAAAATGAAAGGCATTGTTCCTTTTCTCTTTGCCCCCTCCTTTTCCCAATTTCTCTCTGGCTTTCTGGGTACCTTAGGTGAACTTGTAAAGCAGTGAGCTGACAGTCTTGTCTCTTGTAACTTTGTTTTTGAGAAGACATTTTAGAATGTTGTCACTGTGGAATTTGCCTCTTACAGAAACATCTCGTGACTGTGCTGGAAAAAGAAGAGAAAATGTCTGTGCATGGCAGAGAAGAACTTGTTGAGATCCCAATTGTGAGCCCTGCCACACAAATAGTGCTCAAAGGGCTCTTCATGGTTCTCCTGTGTCTCTTCAAAGATAACAGCAGGTCAGTGCAAGTGCAGAGCCCAAGCTCTGGGCTGGCCTTTCCTTGAGCTGCTTTGCCAAACTGCCTCTTTCATTTGGGAACACCTCAATTACAGTGTTTGGCTTCTGAGCACAGCCAACATTTGGGGAAAAGCTTTGGAAAAATCTACTGAAGTGGGCAGAATTTAAATACCACCAAATTGGGGGGTTATTTCATAAATTAAACAGTGAAGAAATTTATTTGAAGGTTAGGTGTAAATTTGCTTGATTTATTGCCAAGTGAAATATGTATGGGCTATATTTTTCTGTGTAGCATTTATCATTTGACTATCTTCATATCTTGACTACTAATACCAGCAGTTGCTGAAAATTACTGATTTAAATGTTATTTAAAAATTAGTAATCATTGTAAGGTTTCACTGTCTTCCGAAATTATTTATAATTAAATCATAAATGCGTTGTAACAACACTTTGTTAATTGTTTTGAGCTCAATGCTCACAATCTGATGGCTCATTTGTCGTTTTTCCTGCCACTCCCATATCTCTGTGTAGGTTTGCAGACGATTACAGAGTTGCTCTGCAGCAAACTTACACCTGGATGAGTGAAAACCACCCTGAGGATTCAGACACAAGCTCCTACTTTGCACGGCCCAGGCACAAGAAGAGTTCAAGGCAGAAGACCCTCGTCCACATGCTCAGTTTTTGGTGCTTGAACCCTGCTGTGGTGAGGAGGCCTCAGCTCACTGGAGTGAGAACAAACACAGAGCTTACAGTGATTGTATGGACTTTTCTAGATTCCTTCTGTTTTCTTCTCCCACCTAGGCCTTTTCTGACCTCGGTGAAGTTAGAACAATTGTCCTGACATCTGGAACTCTGTCTCCCATGGATTCCTTCTCCTCGGAGCTCGGCGTGAGGTTTTCCATCCAGCTGGAGGCCAATCACGTCATCCGCAATTCCCAGGTAACCTCTCCTGAGCTCCAGTGCTGCCCATGCTACAAGAAACAGCAACTTGCAATGAAAAGTGGTGACAAACCCGTTCTGTAATTTAAAAGAAATGTCCAGAACAGGCTGTCCTTGGATTTAGACACACATTTCCCTGGAGAAGTTCTATTGATATATATATTGGTAACACCATCTTAGCAGTTATCGCCCTGTGGCAAAGCCCTGGAGTGAATCTCTTCAGAGCTATCTCAATAATTCCTTCACACTTACAATTTATGATGGAACCTGCTGTAAGTTGGTACAGTTTGTGCTGCACAGCTGAGCATTAACCCTCTCCACGTGCCCTCCCCAGGTGTGGGTGGGCACGGTGGGCACAGGCCCCAGCGGCCGCAAGCTCTGTGCCACCTTCCAGCACACGGAGACCTTCGAGTTCCAGGACGAGGTGGGGGCACTGCTGCTGTCAGTGTGTCAGACAGTTGGCCAAGGAATTCTCTGCTTTCTGCCATCTTATAAGGTAAGGAAATCCTAATCCGTGCTCTTCCTATCTTACTCGAAACTGTGCTTTTCCTTCATGCATCAGCACACGTAAAAATATTTATAAGATAAATGTACTGCAATAACACAGAGGGATTATATTGTTATTTCTTGAGTATCCTATCTTCTGGCATTCAAAAAAAAACGTGTTCATGTTTGTTTTCATGAGTTATCTGTGTCTTAGTAATGACTAAAATTGTTTTGATTAATTTTACCAAAAAAGAAAAAAAAGCCAGACCGATCTGCATTTTTTTTCTTATATTGTTTCTTTAAAGGTTTTGGAATTATTTACTAAAAAAAGTAATATTCTCCTCCATGTAAGCACATATCATGAAAGGGAGTTGCATGTGTGTAACTCAGGAGCCAGGGATGCCTTGGCATGTCCCTTCTGTGCTGTTGGAATGCAGGATTCATCCAGTTCATTTCTTCTCCCCTTGGTTCTTGTTCCATGTCACTGCATTGGAGATGGAAGTCCATTTTTCTTGGGTCAGGGGAATTCCTCACTGGCAGTGGCTGAAAGGAATCGAATTTCTTCATTTCAGAGTATGCAAGATCTAATTTCACTGACAACAGATATCTAATTATGGTTAATCTGTACCTCCCAGTACTTCTGCTTTCTTCTCTATTAGCTCCTGCTCTTATTTATGGGCAGGAACAGGAATATAAACCTGCAGTATAATTCTGTAATTCATACTCATTTTTCTTGTAATGCTTGCAAGGGTCTGACTTCCTAAATTTTAAAGAATCATTTGTGATTTTAAAAAATCATCTCAGCAAACAAAAAAAGAAAAAAGAAAACCCTCAAAAAAATCCTACTAAATGATCATAAATGCCCAGTATAGTGAAAACAGAGGTTTCAGACCTTTTCCCTCATTTCTAAAGTTCCTTAACAGAGAATATTTCACAAAATGAAATAAAAAATGATTATTCTTCTATACAAACCCTTGATGTTTTACTGTTTAAGTGATGGGGCTGCAAAGGGAGAGCGATTTCTTGGCTCTGTGTCTCCAGAGCTGTCTCAGTGCAGTTCCTGGCAGCAGCCATTAGGTGACCTCATCAGACCAGGTAATGGGAGCCACTGAAAAAAGCAGGTTACTGACTGTACACTTATTTAATACCTCACAAACCCACACACTCCCATGCAAAGGGAATGATCTGACAGGAAATTTCACCTCCAGTTGATTTGAGGATTGAACTGGAGCACATTTCAGTTTTCAGTGTTACCTTGGGGAGGGTGTCACGCTGGACAGAACTCAGAGCTGATCTTACAGACCCACCAAATACTTCTGTGAGATTAATAATGTGGATTGCAAGTCTGGAGAGACTTTGTAATGACATTTAAAAAAGGAGGAAAGGGGTTGCTGGGCAGCTCTGGAACCCTTCCCCCCCTCCCTGTCTCCCTGAAAGGTCACTCAGCTCCACGCCGAGTGTTTTGTTCTTTGTGGGAACACTTCCCTCAGCCCAGCCAAAGTATTGATAAATATAAATTGCAGACAATTGAAGGATGATCTTTTAAAATCACATTGCCAATATTTTTCTATGGATGCCCTTTTTCTTTCTACTACTTTTATTCTGGATTGGGTTGCCTGTAGGTCTGAGATTAATATGTTGAGAACACAGACTAATGTAAGCATATTAGTACAGGGAAAACAAGGTATTTTTCTTTCATCATAGCAGAATATCTGCATTTCCAGACTGTTTTTCAGAGATTTTTTCAGGCAATTGCTGCCTCTCCTTAAAAAACTGCAGCTTTTAAAGGAATTTTTCAAGGCTGTCAAGATCTGATTAATACACATGGTCACGGACTCACTATTATGAGTTAGGCAGATTTTCTGAGACCTCAACCTGTTTTATGAATTGAAGTTTCAACTTTGGAATAAGTGAAAAATAAAGTATTTTTATATGTCTGGAAGGCTGAGGCCAGATCTCTGAATTTTGAGTAGCATTATGCAGGTGATTTGATGGAGTTTGAATTTCAGTTTGCAATTATCAGATGCAATGTGAATGAAAAAAAAAAAAGCAACAGTGGAGAAATTTCCCTTTATCTTAGTCAGGTATTTGAAGAAACATATTTTTAATTGAAGAGTGTTTAAAATATCTGTATGGCAAATATCTGGAGTTAATAATGCAATGGAGGAAAATACCTGGGTGGGAAGACAACACATCACCTGTACATTCCCACGTTTGAGAGGGGTTTGTTCTGGGCAGCTGGGATGTGCCATGGACCATGAATGGGATGATTTACAAACAACATACAAATTTTTATTGTCATTTTTGGACTTCTGGCACGTTGACTTTTTTTAAAAAATAAGCATAATCTTAACAGTTACTAAATTGCAAACCTGAATCACTTTTAGGGCTCTGAAAACCAGTGACACTATGCAACAAAAATGCATTTATGTGCAAATCAGTAGCAACTCCAGCAAAAACACTCTATAAAAGAGAATATCAGAAGGTGAAAAGATTACCCAGAAATCTAAGATGCTTTTAAACAAGATTAAGATAAGGCCCATTAGGGCTCATGTTGCCAACCTGTCTGCATTAAGATATATCTTGCCTGGTGCTGCATCTTAGATGATCCATTCAATATGTGTCATATCAAAGTCAAGGGATCCAGAGAGGAGAAAAATGCTAATGCTTATAAATTTAGTGATAATCCATCATGATGAATTAACTGACCTTTCTTAGGAGCTTTTTCTGTTGTACCAAATAAGCTTTGGACAGGGCTGTTAATGCTGGCAGGGCTGGTCTGTTCTGTTCTCCTCTGAGGGATTATTGTTGGTTAATTTGTAGCTGCTAATTGAGGAGTCATAACTTGGAAGCAAAATGTTTTTAAGTAGTGGGTTTGAGTGACTGTTTTCATGAGGAAAATTGATGAATTGATAAGAATTCTTTTGCTTGAGAACCCAAGCTCGTTGCAGGGGGGTTGAACTGGGTCAATTTAAAGGTCCCTTCCTGCCCAGACTATTTGATGATCATAAATTGGCATTGCCATGGACTGTGTGAGTTTGGAAGGTGGCACAATCAGCATGTCATTAATTAATGCTGCGTTGCATTGGCTGTTTCCCTTGAGAATTTTGGGGTAAGTTTAGAGTGATATAAAGTAGCTTTTGTCACTTGCTCTTCTTTATTGGGACAGACCCTTTTCTTGCTGAGACACGTGAGATTGGGAGAAATGATTTCTTTTCACCCAGGATGAACTGAACACTGAAAATCCAACAGAACAGTTGAATTTCTAAAACTTGCCCGAAACACAGATTTGTAAAAAAGTTAAATGACCCATTTTTTTTCTGCCATCGATAAAACAAAACAACTTTTACTTATTTAATAAATTACTTCAGTAAATTTCCAAAAGATGGTAGTCTGTTTAGCCAGGCCTATTAAAAGCATTAAGATTCAAGCACTGGCTGTTAAAATGAGTAAATGGCAATATCACAAAGTTAAACAAATGCCAAAAAACATTTTCCAGAGGACTGGGATTGTAACAATACCATTAATGAGGGCAAAGAGGTTTTAATGCAATTTGCACATTCTAAAGTTTCAAAAAGAGGTTTTGAGTTAGTGCATTATTAATGTTCTGAACATCTGGAACTATGTAAAGCCACAGACATTGAGCAAGTGCAGGGTTTCCCCACTAGGTCTGATGCTGACTGATTTCCTCCCTGGCCAAAAGCTTGTTTTTAGAAGTTTGAGACAGTAAAATGACAATATCCAGATAAGAGATAAACATTCCACAGTGTCTTTTTGCTTGTAATGTGTATGGAGGAAAAAATTGGGAGCCATTAGGGTTGTGCAGTTAAAAGGGGAATTGGAAATTAAATAGGAAAACAGTTGTTTGCACCACAGATGGTTTAGTCACACTGATTTTAGAGCTTATGAGAGGAATTATCTAGTAAATTCCATAAGATTGGGGTTTTTTTCCTGTTAGGTGTATCTATGTATTATATGCAGCAGAAATGCTTTATCAAGGTCATGTTCTCTTTGATAATCATATAGAAGTGCTTCAAGGAGGAGATTTACTCCTGTGTGTAAATATTTGCAAGCTGTAGGGATCTGTTCACACCAAGTGTGGTTTGCAACAGAGATTTGCTCTTTAAAGTCACATAAACATTAACTTTGTGCATCATTTTCGTGGTAGAGAATGTGACTGACACTGTTACAGCCTTAAAATGATGCAGGGAACAGGAATGTTTGTGTGTCACCCAGTTTTAGTTGCTCTGACCACAGCTGGTACCCAACATCACATTCACTGGGATGAAAAGAGAGGAGGCCTTTGAACAGGTTTGGCACATCAGGGGTGAGTTATGAAATAATTGTAAATTAATAATGCTCCTCACTTTCTGCCCAGCACTTGCTGCCTGCTCCCAAGGGAAAGGCTTTCCCTTCCTTGTTTCTGTGAGCCAAACAGCTGCAGCAGGGCTGGGACAGCAGGAAAGAAACCCTAAAACCAGGAGAGGGCTTTAGGGGCTGCAATCCTGTCATCCCTGTTCCCTCAAACTCTGGGCAAGAGCCTCCCAGGGCAGGGAGAGCAGAGGATGGAAGGGGAAGTGAGGAATCTGTGAGGAGCACCCTGAGCTCTGTCCTGGCCCCACGGGCTGGGCAATGCCCCTGGCAGGCCCTGGAGTTGTTCTGGGGGCTGAGAAGGGCTCAGAGGGGCTCCTGCCCCTGGGGTGACACTTTGGGGTGTTTGACTTTCCTTTGGAAGGAAAAGGCTCCTTGCCAGGTTCTGGGGCTGGGCCTTTTGCCTCACTCTGCTGAAAACCAGAAGTGATTTCTGTCTGATGAGACAGGAATTCAGATGGCTCAAAAATTATTCATTTCAGCATTTGTGTCTAATAAACATGGATAGAATTTGTTTTACTTGTCCATTGCTTGTTTTTCACTCCTACTCTGCACTGGTAGTTTTCTCTCTGAACTTTATCTCACCTTCTTTGTTTTATGGGTTTGTGGGGTTTTTTTCCTCCCATTAATCATATACAG